CTCTCTCTCTCTCGCACGCGCCAATCTCCTGACAAACGCCGACGCCGACGCACTGCTTTTTCTTGGTTTGGCATCTTCCACTATCCCTCTCTTGGCTTTCAGAATATCTCTTGATTTTGTTGTTAACAACAAGCTGACCGCTCCAACAAAAAACACGATCAACTGTATTGCATTGCTGTTTAAAAAGCTAATTGCGCGCGTTCACCTCAACGCGCCAAACAACATGCCTTTAAAGTGAGTTGCGCATTTTTTCGTGCGCTTCTCTTACTCTGTAAATGGTCGGAAGAAAGTCTTGTAAAGGGTGACTTAGTTTTTCATCGAGATCGAAATCAGAACCTTATATGGTGCTCGTGCGCAGCGCTCCTTATTGAATGCGAAATTATTACATTATCGGCAAAATTTAGTGGATAATGGAGTGCTGCTTACGCTTAGCGAAACCGTGTATGTGTTATCAATCAATATGTATTAACTTGACTTGATTTTTTGGCCTACGAATGTCCAATTGTAGCTCTCTCACTGCCTAAAGCCAAAGTGGCAATGGTGGTATTATTGGCTGTTTGAATCTAAGGGAGATAAAGTGTAGGGGAATATTTGAATATTCGAATGTGGGCTCGCACGCAGTCAAGCTAACACACAAGCAAAAATATAACCGTTTATCTTTTTTTCGTCTCGTGCTCTTCCATTCCTTCATCATCCCTATTACTTGTCATCCTCCTTCGATACCTTGTTATGATTTTATTGTGTCATTCGTAAATCATATACGTACTCGGCTCTAAGCCGTGCATTATGCGATTGGCTTTTTTTCTTATTTATCTTTTCAAATGGCATCCTTATTATATTCAAACCTTTTTACGGGGCAATGCTCATTTTTCAAAAAGTCAAAATCATTCGAATGCTAAACATTGCTATAAAAACATTCCTTACCGTCTTGAAAAATACGTGACTTATGATCGAGCTGAAGTATGAATCCCAAGTCGCTTATTTCGAACCTGATCGTTAATGTCGATTTAAATATTTAATATACATTGATTGTTAATGACTAACAAAATCTACCGATATAATAGCAATATTTATACGCGTACGATCAGCTTTAAAAAATAATGATATAGACACGCGGATTAACAAGATTCATAAGATGTTTTGAAAAATGTAAACGGAAGATTATGAGAAAATACGAGAACGTTATTCTGTGGATGATGACCTAATGCGTATTAAAAAAAATTTTATTATTTTTGGAATTTGTGAATTTGTCGACACTGATTAATATAGTAAATTTCTCACTATCAACAACGAATATGATTTCTCTTGTACAAATCACGAAAGGTTAAAAATAATTAGATTTTTACTTTCGAGCGAATACAGCATCGAATGTGTTAAAGAGAAACTAAAAACGGAGAAGAAAAAGAGTATACGAAAAAATGATTTTTTTTTTAATTTAAATATTTCTTTAAGATTTTGTTTTATCGGTGAAGAATAAACAATATCTAAATAAGCTAATTTTCTTTTATAATACAGTTAAAGTCAGAATACTTTTTAAAACACATTTATGGAAGTTTATCATAAATATTGTTTCAATGTAAAAATTATTGCGCTAAAAAATTTAATGTCTTTATTCCATCAACTATTAAGTATATTTTTAATCTGTCACATATAATTGTCAATAAAATTTAAAAGTATATTGCTGCGGCTATAAGTACATTAATTATACGCGGCACCTACATATCATAATATAATCTGTAGTTTCAAATGTATGAAAACCGAACAATTACGTAATTTATTATATTATAAAAAAAAATAATAATAAAAAAACATATAATTTAGATCTGACTAGCGGATGAATTTTAAGAATTTGAAAGGTTGCGTCATCTTCCACGATAAATTTATGGCACAAAAAAATAATGCAAATTATATCAATCGAGAAGTAAGTTTTACAGATAATTGTAAGATGCAGCCTATATTAGTCGACTGGCAATTTATATTTTGTTATAAAACACATTTATTTGAAAAAACAACAGTATACAAATTGGCATTGATTGTGTCATTTAAATAAATATTATTCATAAAAGGGACCTTAAAACCATAAGGCTTTCATTTATTATTTATTATTTAATTTTTTTATTATTTTTTTTTCCTTCGCAACTATTCAACAATTCATTTAGATTTCAGATTGTTATAAGCTTAAATAAATGTGGGATCATTACTTACCAGTCACGAACAAATCATCCCCATTATTGTTCAAGTACTATTACTTGTAGCACTGTAACGACCCTATTTCTATATGATTTAATAGCGAATTCGAATGTCACGACTAAACTTATATTGAACTGTCGTGCGAGCCATTTTAATATCACGCACTCTTTTAAAGAAACAAATATTACAAATCAAAACAATGTTACCCTCGCTCGCCAAAGACCACTTACATTTATTCGAAAAAAAAGAAAAATGAAGCGGGTATTTGGTAGAATAGCTCTAGCGAGATTGTCATGTAATGTAATAAAATCAGGAATATAATTAGTTATAAATAAATAATATTTGACGCAAAATACGTATTAAAATACGTATGAAAGAGGTATAGGGCATAAGGCGTTTATCATGAACGACGCCTTAATGAAAAAAAGGGCGAATGCAAAGGAACCGAAGAAGATCGCAACGTTGTGATGGAGGTGATCGCACACGGGAATGAATTCAATCGGGTCTTGTATACCAGGAGCGAAGAAACAAAAGCTCAAACGCAAAAACACGACAAAATTATACCGTGCGAGAAATTGCGACTCGCGCGTTGTTTTTGTGTGTACAGGCCTTACCAGCGTCACACACATGCGCGCATAATCTACAGACACAATTGTTCCTCTCGCTCGGAGCTGCCGCAGCCTTGTCGAGGCATCCGTTCATCTGATATCGTATAATAGATGGCGCGTACCCTTCCAATTCTCCTCTTCCTCCACGCCTTCGTGAACCCTCCCTTTACCCTTTCCCGCGCCACCAATGTCTTTCTTTCTTTCTTTCTTTCTTTCTTTCTTTCTCTCTCTCGCACTTTTTCTCCAAAGTCATTGCAAATTTACGCGCCACGATTTTGTTTTCATTGGGACGTAAGTACCGCGCCAACGCTACATTCATTCCCTTAATTACTTAGGACGATTTTTATGTTTCTAATGCTTACACTACTACACAGCCAAAAGCATCCAGAATATATTCGACACTTGAAATATATTCTAGAAGCTTCTCAATTAGAAAATATGCCAATTGGAAGAGATCGCTAGAGGGCCAATGGCAACACAACGTCTTCGGGTGTCTTGGGCAAACCGAGTCCGAACACTAGAGAGGCTCTCGAGGGTAAGGACAGTGAGATTCGTAAGGATTGCGTTGAACTTGGAAAGTATTTTCAAGAGGTGTGAAGAATATTGCGCGTCGCTCGTTATGTGAAATGTGAGAGCAGCGAGCGTTACTAGAGGGGCCAACGCGATTTGCCTGGGAGGCAAGTTTTTTAAGTCGACTGTATAAGCGCGACAAGCGCCTTAGTAGTTTTGCTTCCTTTGGGTTTCACACTCGTGTTGATGCTTCGGAAGGATTGCACTTGAAAAGGGCTCGGCGGCGCCTCTCCCCCGACCCTTCCCCATTCCTTCTTTACCGTCATGAATTTCTCGGCCACGGATGCGAGTGTGAAGGAATTTTAACGAAATGTCCGTTGACATTTTTGTTTTGCGTATATTCGCGCCCCGGCGAGACAAATCCTATGTCGCGTCGCTTTGTTCGCTCTTTTTGCATTCGTCTCCTTTATCTTCCTCGGTAATAACGTTACAAAACACACCGACGATAGCATTTGTAAAAAAATATACAAACAGCGTCAATGGCTTTTATGAAGCATGTGAAACGGACTTTTTCCTTATTTCGACGTACAGTAATATTTACCATATAAAAAACTTAGGAGTTTCAAGTCCTTTTTATAGTATATCGACGCACCAACAATCGGCGTGCACATGATTTAAAAAAAATTAATACATACGCCCGCTCGTGTTGAAAATTATAATAAATAGCTGTGCATTTTTTACACGAAATAACTATTTAATAGGTTTTCAGAATAAGAAGAATATCATGTCGAGTTTCAGAAAGATAATAAGGGTCTTTTAATGTTGGTAAGTCAGCAAACAAAGATCTCTTAGGCATTATTAAATATTGTACCAATGTTCAGAATATTGTGATCACATAATTGAAACGATATTTGCCTACGCATTGACATAAACTTTGCAAATTGTAAGTACTATTTTATATTGTAGTAATATGATCATATGAAAGAAATTAATTTTTATTAACTAATCTATCAGTTACCAACAATAATTGAAAAATAAAATACATTATTAAATAATGAAATCTTATAAACAATTTATCATGCAATCTATTTTAATAATTTAAAATGAATTGATAGTCAGATAAATTGCTGATTTAAAATTTTATTGGACTAACCTAACGAAGAGAAAATAAAATAAACATAAATTTACCAAATTGTAATGATTGCAATTTAAAATAAATCTTTCATTCGATAATTAAATCTGTATTATTAATAATAATCTCATTTTATATCAATAACACATCTAGGCTAATTTTAAGGGAAAAAAACAATTAATATGTCACGTTGGTTGGAACATCAAAGTTCTAGACTCAGATATTTCATTAAAATGTTGATTTCTTATCGATGACAGGCAATGTAAATGATATTTATTGTTACTCATAATATAACTAACAAACTACAGCTTATTCGCAATCTTGTTAAAAAAAATTTGAAGCTTATACTTTTGTCGCTGAAATTATTATAAATTGGGATTATCGAACGCTCAAACTTAAGAAATAAAATTATAATGTTGCTCTGATGGAATTCTATTTCTTTCATATTGCAGGAACGGCTGGATCAATAGGTCGTTAATAAGAGAAAAATAGGTACATATTTTTTTGCAACTAGTTTTGGACAAACTAATTTTGCATTAATTGTAAATAACTGAACTTACAGGTTCTGAGTCCAAGGTTGCAAGCCATTAGGTGCCCCAACGAGCTGTAGATCTTTGCAAATGACAGAGTTACCCAAGCATGAGCATTCGACAGGGCACTGATTGTCCGAAGCACTGGTTACATGCAGTATAATAGCCAGCAGCAGCACCGTCGAGCCGGGTAAACCTGGCATCTTGCCACCGCTTCTGCTTCCTCGCCGTCGCTTCATTCTTATCCTTGATCTTTTTGCTTCTTTTCATCTGCAGCCACTCAACGCCTTCTCCGACGTTTACCCCATTGCAAAAGCAATGCACAAAGTCACTATTCAGACCCGGCCGGTGCAAAAATAAAATGAAGCAAAATGCGCGTGAAGAGTGTCGGCTTGGAAAATAGTACGAATTTTCACCCACACAAGCAATTTGTACGCACAACGCCTACGCTAAGATTCTTCCCTCATGAACACCCGTTCCCTTTTCTACCGTCGATTAAGTAAGGCACGCACTTTACAAATCCACGCACCATGTGCAAGTGCATTTTGCGTGCATGTGTATATGCGCGTGATCGAATCGAAAGAAGTGATCGACGTAAGATCTTGAGCTCTCAAAACAAACGCGCAGACGAATTGCGAGGAGCGCGCTTAACGCTTTTGCAGGTTAGGTTATACGTACATTCGGAAAACACCAACGAGCTACACTGTACGTGAGCCTCGCTACATACAAGCTTAAGAGATACGTGCGCGTAAATACGAGAGAAGATCTGTTTGAATTGCAAAGCTGCCTTAGAAACGCTCCAATCTTCACTGCGAGGGTAACAAAAATTCAAGACTCAATAGTCGGCTAAAAGATGAATACTTTTCTCCTGATCGTTACCGAGTGCCGCCGCACGGTTACAGTATCGCCACCTCCACCACCACCGATCACCGTCGCCGTCGACGCCGCCGCTTCTTCTCCCTCCCCTTTTCGTTGATCCCTCGGTCTCTCTCTTTTAACCTATGCTCATGGCTCGTCTTCGTCTCCGTTCATCCATTACTCTCTCGCGCCTCTCGGCAAAGCTACGAAGAGAGATCTTATAGCGTCCGACAAAACGACCATAAGAAACGCATCAAGTCCGATTGCTTCGAAACACTTCCACTTCCATAGTGCCTCCACGACACGGCTATTTTATTTCATATGCTGCTGCTGCTGCTCTCTCTCTCTCTCTCTCTCTCTCTCTCTCTCTCTCTCTCTCTCTCTCTCTGTGCCTCTCTCACAACACGCGCGCGCGCCCATACATCTCTCTTAGTTATTCTCTCTTACTCAAATATTGTGATTCAGAATACAGGTAAAGAGAAAAAAGATAAGGACAATGAAAGTATATATTTATATAATTATATAGTATATAATTTTCTGATATCTTGAAGGAACCATTTTAATTATATAGAAATATTATTAAATTTATCATAAATTTTTGGACACTTCAACTGACTAAATACGAACTACATTGATGTATTTAAATTGTTTAAATTACATTACTTAGTCACCTAATACAGTAGTCAAATTTCTTATAAAATTAAGAGAATCTTATATTTAAGCAAAAAATTAGTATGTATTTCTTTTAAATAAATTTATAGCAATTACATTCTATTTATGAAATCTTCCATAATATTTAATTAAATTATGTTACGTATTTCATCTACACAGCGTTCATCAACAAGTAATGAATAAAGTGGTTAGTTTCTTCAAAAGCAATCATTTAAATATTGAATTTGTTAACATTTATAACTTATAGATCAATTATATTAGTAAAATAATTCAGCAATTGTAAACTATATCGCCTTTGGATGCACAACTTTAAGTATTAATTAAATTCGACAAACTTACTGACATTTCGTTACTGCGTGTACTGTTTAAATTACATTATAAAACTAGTTCTTTTTATTTTTATAAAAATTACTTAGTCAATTAACTTGTTAAAATGAAGGATTAAATCTAAAATATAGTAGTAACTTCTTTTAAATTGTTAAATTATCAGCAACATTTGTATAATATTTATATTGTTATTCACATTTTTTCTTTTTCATTGAGTTGTAATTTTAATCTAATCTTCAAGATTATGAATCCATTCGGACATACGACCTACTTTCAAACGATTTCCCTAAAGAGTATCTTCTATCCCCATATTTCTTAGGCTAAATTTTGTTGCACCTCTAAGTAGAAAAATCGTTAAAGAAGCCTATCACAACCTAATAAACGCTCTTTCGACAACCGCTTTAACTATGAATATTCATTATATTCGTTTGCTGCACTTGTTGCACATCACCATCTAAGAAATCTGATAATTTATAGAAAAGTATTAATTTTAAATAATATTCTTTCACACATGATTCCCATATATTTAATATATTTTTACAAATTTACGTTACCATTTATTTCTTTTGTTTTTGTTTTTATTGTTATCTACAGTAAAAACAAATAAAGTAAAAAAAAATAAAAAAGTTATTAATAAATTTTAATAAAAGTTTAAAAAAATAAAATTTAAAAGTCTTCTTTTAAATTTACAATATTTGTATTATTATATATATATAAATCTTCTAAATTTAAATAACCAAATTTAAAAACTCGTAGTTTAGATAAACATTGCCTCTATACTTATATTAACAATTAAAAATAAATTATCTTAGTCATGTATTCTACAAACAATAAAGGTGTACTATTCGATCCTTAAAAAGTACATAATCTACAAAATGTAATATTAAATATTTTCTCACACAGTTTCTCATACAAAATAGTTATTCCAAAAATTTTAATATTCTGTAGAAGCTTTTCCAATAAGTAGCAACTTAGACGATTGTAGGTTCGGCTTGTATCTTCAGTTTCTTGATTTTATTAATAAAGTATAAATTCATCTACAGTTCATCAACAAATAAATAAGTATGTATATAATAATTTAGTTTAAATTTCAAAACATCCAGAATTTTTTCAAATAAAATAAACAATATAGAATTATGTTACATCAAATTATTAAAATAATGCCTGAAATAATTTCATTTTTATTTATACTCGTAAATACAAATTTCAGTTATTTTGATAAATTTGTTAGAAATAATAAAAAATGTATCCATTGAAAGCCGATAAACTGAATATAAGTGTTTTAACATGTATATTAATTTTTACGAATAATTGAAAAACATGTTACATTTAACTAATAAGTTTAAAAAAACTTGAAATTGCTCAAATCCCTATTAAGTTATTTGTTATTTCTATATAGATTTCTATAAATATTTCAATATTAATACGTATACATAAATTTGCATAAATTAATTAAAGAATATAATTAAAGTAGCTAAAGTAATTGAATAAAAATATATAAATAAAAATATAAATTTTATAAATGCCGTACTTATATAAAAGTATTAAAAATATAATATAATATTATTGGCAATTATTGTTTTTAGTATAATTAGTACTATCTATTACTCTCTATCTGATCTATCTAATCTATCACTGATATATTAAAAATATAAATAATACTGTATATAATTATAAATACTAATTATAAATACTATACATATATATATATATATATTATAAATAATAATCAGAATCGTGCTTAATAAATAAAAAAAAAAATCAAATACAAACAAAACAAGAATTAATATTTTGATATTACAAACAAAAATATAAAAAAAAATTACTAGAGTTTTACCAGGATAATTACAATATTTCATTCTGTATCATATTGTATTTAAACACAAAAGAACATTAATGTGGAAAAACTCAAATTCAAACTGCTGACATAAAAGTTATAATAATCAATTATAAATTATAGGTGTAATATACATTTTAATTTTTTTCATAAAAACCATTATTGAAATTATTATATTCTTATGCAATTAAAATTAAATTTATTCTTAAAAAGAAAAAAAATTTCTTTCTGTGTTAATATAAATGCTTATTTTGAAGCTTAAATGAAAAATTTTATTGCTTACGACTCATTAAATACGTATATATGCACAATTTTTAACTTGAATATTCATATTTCAATATATAAATATCAAATGTTTAAAGGTTAATAATCTTTACCTCATTAATTATTGATATTTTTATTTATCAAAAGATGAATTTTTAATCTGTATGTATTATTAGAAATAACTATAATGTGAACAAAATTATATAATTACTATAATTTATTCTTCTATCTTCATTGTATATTCTATACATTCTAAATTAAATTATGAATAATTTAAATTAAAATTCTTAAAGTTTTATATATCTATATTAATATATATTGTTCATATCTAATATTAAGTCGAATTAATTGTATTAACTTTCTGTTTGCGTATATAGATGTTATTATTTATTATTATTATTTATTTACATTACTTACCTGAGAGAAAATCTCATTATGAATTTATCAATTTTTAATTTAATTTCAATTAAAATTTTCTTACTATTTTATGATATTAATTAAAACTATAAAATTTTTTTATAAAAGTATATTAATTATTATAAACTAAAATGATTTAAACCAATAATTTTTTCATTTTATTTTCATTATAAGTTATTTTCTTATTAATTTTGTTTGCAAGTTTTCAAAATCTTTTATGTTGACATTAGGAATTATTAATAGAATATTAAAACTAATATTTAATATTTAAAATTTGAATTTAAATTAAATTCACTGTTCATAGTATTAAATTATTATTAAGATTAATTATTTGAAAATAATTAGCGTTATATAATTTTCTACAAATAAAGTTACTTTTATTGTTAAAATATTTTTTGGCCAAAATAATAAGATATAAATAAAATATTTTTTGATACTACAAATAGAAAAAATTGTTCAACATGAATTTGTGACATTTATAAAAGATTAGTTTAATAGTAGTCAATAATTAAAAGTACATTTCAAAAAAGATGGTATATAAATTTTAATTGATAATATTAAATGAATTATTATTTATACTGTAAAGATATTGACAAATTTTTAAACTTTATAGAATTCTAAGAATTGTATTTGTAAAACAATTTTGATAATACATAACAAACTGAAATTTCTTTGATTTTTCAGTGGAATACAGATTTCTTATAAAATACTTAATAATCATTGCTTAAATGTCCATATACAAGCTTTGCAACTGAAATTGCATTTATCTTCTTAGTACAGAAAATGTATTCACCAAAAACGATATAGCATGTTACTAAATATATTTTTATTTATCACTAACTGCATATTTATGTTTCTTTAATAAATCACTATGTCACAGCTCCATTCTTCCCATTATTTTTTTGTTTTATTTTTAAAGAAAACAGTATTTTTATGTATATGTTTTTTATGCATGCACATACATATTTTTGCACTTATAACGTGTGTATTCTGATTACGTAAGAATAAAACCACTGTAAAATAATAAACTCTTAGATATTCAATTGTATAATATTTGAAATCCTGTGCAAACTTTCTTTTGAAATAATTATGATTTTAATGTTATATTGTAACATACGATGTTACATACATGCTGTTCCGAATTTTTATGTCAAAATCTGATATTTAAGTTTTTACAATTTTATAAAGCTTTGCTATTCACCTACAATCTATTAAAATAATTAGTTCGCATTTGACTTTGTATGCCTGTTGTTTAGACTTTGCTCATACATTCGCCATCAATTATATAGTCTTTAGTTCTAAATAAATTCTTTATAATTTACATGTTAGTCTTTTAAAATCGTAACATTTTACTTTTGACTTATTAATAAGACCCCTAGTTATCATTTGAAAGCAAAACTTTGTCTGTTTTTCAAAATTAGAGATATAAAACTAATTCTTTTCTTCAACATAATACAATAAGATGGATAAAAACGCATTAAATTGTAGTTTAATAATCACTAATCTCTAAGCTAATAAAATAAGAAATGATTAATAGCACTAATGACTTTATTAATTATGTTGTCGCTTCTGATAAAAGAAGTACAGGCAACATCGTTATACTACAGAGTAGCTAATATATTCAGATGTATCATTTACGAAAGGTAAATGAAACAAATAAACATTTATGCATTAGATATACATTAAATTTACAGATTATCATGTTCCGTCGAACAATAAACATATTTAATTTTCGAAATTGCCTCCTCTTACGTTTTATTCAAGAAATGACGTGTTTCTTGTATCTTAAATTTATAAAAACTGCCATTTTTATTTATTCACAAACATACAATTTTGTTTATATTTAATTATAACTGAAATTTTGCGAAGGTTAGATTTTTGGCAACATTATCTTTATAAAAGTTTAGTACAATTCTTCACAATTAAAGAGCATTTATTTATCGAAAATATTAATAATGAATTTATGTAAAATTTATAAAGTGTCCATTCCTCATTTGTTGATAAAATTTTTAATATGCAGATTCATATCTACATGTCTATTTCGGATCAATAAATACAAATCTTTCCTTTAAAAAAATAAAAAAAATAAAGAAATTATGCAAGACTAAAATAATGTATATTGATTTTTAATCATTCCCTCTTAATGAACATCTACACTTATGTTTTTTCTTTCAGGCATCGATAAATGCAAACCGCTACAATTACAATCATGTTTATAACGAAGACATTGTAGTAGCTTTCTATCATTTAAGTGATCTAATTCGCACGACACGTTAGCTACTCCGTTGATACATCTCACTAGTTGATATTAAGTGGTAGGATGATAAGAATTAATTAAAGCTGCGTCCACTGGTTCCATACAAGTAGGACAAGTCAGCGATCGCAGTAACCAGTCGTCGATACAAACAGCATGATAGGTATGCATACATGGCAAATAACGCACTTCTTCACCGGTCACCAACTCCATCATACAAATTACACATTCGCCTTTCTTGACACCATCGAACTCCCTCGTAGGTAAGTGCTGAATAAGGCCAATACGTTTAGCCATTCTGACTTGATGTTCTTCCTCGTTTATAATTGGTCCACCACCGGTTCCAAAGCCAACTCCTATTCCAATTCCACGGCTAATGCCCATCTCTGTAGATTGTAAATGTCGTTCTCTAATGGGTGCCGGGGGATAATAATTGCTAGACATTTCCTAAAAATAAACATATTTTACAATGATTTTCCTATTCTATATCAAATAATTCTATTCCTATTCTATTCCGAATACTACAATAACGCTCGACTTATTCTTTTATACCTTTTACTCTGTAAATAATTGTTTTCAGTAACATACAATTATATAGAATTTAAGACAAATGAAGTATAAATAATATTGCATTAATTTGAAATTTTTTAATATATATCCCTAATAAATTGCATATAAATTGTATATAAATTGTCTATAAACATTTCTTGGAACTTTATTATATAAACAAGATGAAAATATCTTGAAACAAAATAAATATTTTAAATTACTAATAAATTACTAATAAAAATGTAAAATATTACTACTCTATAAAAAAAAATAAAAGCAAAGGGAAAGGAAAGTCACGTCTTCCATCAACATGTATCAATATAAATGTTAATGACTATATTCTCTCCTACATTAGTAAATGTTGCCAAGTAAAAAACTAAAAAAATGTCGATGCCAAAGGTCATTTGTAAAAAAAAACTCGGACAAATGACTAGTTATCGCGAAATCCACCAGTACATTGTTCGGATAACTATAATCTTACGAATGTCACGAGAGCCACGATAAGAATTGATATAAAGCAGGAGGGCCAAGAGAAAAAGGGAAAGATACGCGAGGAAGCTAAGAAGAACCAAGTCTCGTAATAGGATTATAAATAATACATTGTAGGGCAGTGAAGGTCTGAGCGTGTCCTGGGAGGCGCCAATCCCGAGGGCAGGATCCGAGCTGTTACTGAGCAAATTAGCGTTGTCTTGCTGAGCGCCTCCGACGCAATTGAGGCAGTTGCCCATGGCGACGGCGGCTGCTGATGCTGCTGCTCTTTGCCAATTTTGTCAGCTGGCAAAGCTCAATCAGCAATTGCACAGAGCGGAGTAGCCGCAGCGGCCTCACGGTTCGCCGTCTCCATCAGCGGAGTCCTGGACTAGGCGACACCTAGCACAAAGGGATGATCTAGGGCCACTCGACGGTCTGCTACTATACACAGCTCTGTTTGCCCCCTGTCGCGCTCAGCTTACGTACGCTCGCGCTCGGGGCCTACTATCGCCGCCAGACGTACCCAGCGCCCTTTGCCCGCTGCCCAACAGTTGACGGCGCATTCGAATCAACGACTATTCGACACCACTACTATGCATACATCGTCAATAGCGCTTTCGTTAATCTGTATTTTAATCCATTTGTATTTTAATAGCATATTAAGGTAATGGCTCCGGTAATCCCTCCTCCTCCTCCTCCCCCTCCTCCTCCCCCCCCTCCTCCTCCTCCTCCTCCTCCTCCTTTTCTTCCTCTCCCCGTCCCCCTATCGGACATTCATCCGTCTCACTCTCACTCTCACTCACTCTCACTCTCTCTCTCTCTCACTCTCTCTCTCTCTCTCTCTCTCTCACTCACTCTCTCTCTCTCTCTCTAGCTCCCCGGAAGAGTTGGTGGTACGTGAAAATGTCCGTCGATGTCGCAATCGCGGTGGCTGACCGATTCTGACGGTCACTAACCGTGGAGCGCCATTCTCTCTTTACAGTGAAGTCACTATTTGACGTCGTGGTCCCGGGAATCCCCAGAGCCGACCTAAGTAAGCTCGCTCCAAGTTCGACACTAAATAGACATATTTTCATATAAAGTGAAACTTTTTTTTTCATCGTACAGATTATCATTGCATATTACATAAGATCGTGTGCTGTAATTCTATTACAAAAAGATTATGTCAATTTTATGAAATTTCAACATTGTATCGCTCATATATGGTATATTTAACATGTGCTTTCTTCAATAATTTAATTTAATAATCATTTAATAATCATTTAATAATCTTGTATAAAAGTGATTGCAATTGGTCTGCAATATTAGTTTGAAAGATATACTTCATGACAGTATGTTCGTTAATATTTATCAGTAAGAACGACTAATTTAGAACCTTTACGAATATCGAATTATTTTTAAAAATCTATAAAATTAATTCGGTTACTTTGCTAACATTTTAAATTATTATACGAAATTTTCACATTATTTAAGAAACCACAATTACTAAGTTTCAAAAATTTTAGTTCTACAATACTATTAAACATCTACAATTATAATTAAAATTAATAATTAAATTGAAGGCTGTAGGAGGGGTAGGGGCGGAAGGAGGACAGGTTACAAACAATTTTATGTAGTAAAATCATTACATTATACTTATAACCATGGAAAATAATGCATTTTTAAACGACTGAGAAATAGCTTGGTTAATTCTATGGCAAAAAAAAAATAATAAATGAAGCTGTAGCACCGACAAGTTTAATTACTCATTAAATTACAAAATAACCGTACAAGCTATTCTTCCTGAAAAGACTACCGTACAATAAGTCTCTTAATAATCTGATGAAGTTTTAAAATTCACTTGTATATTTATTTGGACAATTAAATAAAGTGAAGTAAAAAACTATGTGTATTTTGATAGTTACAAGCGGTCTGAAAACCCACATGATTTATTAACTGTGCTTATTTATTTCAGCGATTTATGTCAATAGCAATCTTTCCAATGAATATACAAATATTTATCTATATTTATCTATACTAAAAATAATAATATCAACTTTTACACTAAAAAATTATGTGATATAAGTTTAGATATAGATATTCGACATACGATATGGATAATCCACGAAAACGAAACTAAACAGAACGCAAAAATTAAAAAATGTACACTCAACACACGTACGTATACTTAATAAGTTCAAATTTACTTTTCAAGATTTTAAGCTCTTAAGACTAGACAAAATAAATCATTGACTAAAATAACTAATTCAACTATAATAATAAAAATATTTTGAGAATGAATGGAAAGTCGTTATATTTCTGGTTAAAAACGTTCGTCTACTTTTATTTATGTATTTCAATGAATTTGTTGGTAAAATATACATTAAATGCATATAAAATTTATGTTATTTAATATTTATTTAATTCGATTTTAATAAGGGGCTGCAATTATTTTTATTTATAATACTGTTAAGTATACTTTAACTCGTAAGAATTTGTATTTATAAGAAAAATTACTTAGAATATCATAAAAAGCTTTAGTTTTTTAATGTTTATAATATACATGAATTACGGTGTATACATTGAATAAAATTTATTACTTTATTCAATTGTCATTGCATTTAAATTCAAAATTAAATAAGTTATAATGCCACAATTAAAAATAATATATCATATTAAATGTAATAAAAAAGTTATTTAAAAAATTGTTTGCCTTTGTTCTACTGTTGTATAATTGTAATAATTTCAGAAAAAATGTTAAAAAAGTACATTTATATTTATGCAAATAGTTTTACATATGATATAAACTTTTATAAACCTACTTATTAAACATGTAGAAAAAATTTTATTATTTTAAAATGTAATGGACACATTTTAAATAAGAGATCAAATTAATATGAGAAGTTTTTTTTAATAATATGTAAATGTTTATATTTTAATATACAAATTAGACAATTATTTATAATTAAATAGTTAAATGAAATAATTGTTAATATTCTATTTGCAATCCGTTATCCTTAAATTAATTAAATAATTGAAAATTATTATTTTTAATTAAAATATATTTCTTTTATTAAGCTCTTCAAATAAGAATATTAACCTTTCAATTTTCAAATTTATTGATAATAATTTCATTGGCCAATATAGCCGATTCAGATTAAATTATATTTGTATTTCTAGTATTAAGTTTCATTTATTTTTTACATGAGATATATTGAATTAAGCAAATCAAACAAATGAATTGATTATTTTGATATTTAAGAGGATGACAATAATTTTATATGATATCCTTGAAAATAAGCTCGTAAATAAATTTTTCCTATTTTTCTATTTATTTTGTTAAACAAATATAATAATTATTTATTATGGCTTTCATCTTCTAAATAAAATTTTTTATAAATATCATTTGCTTTATGTAAATTATAATATAATTTAAAGAAATGTATATTAAAGAAATTTTTAAATAAATCTTTCAATAGTATGTAAAATAATCATGGTCGTTATTTGATTAACAAACATATTAATATGTACGAAATAGATATATACGAAATATGTACTTGAGTATAATTTTGTTTACTTTTTCATAAAAGAATTACCTTTTATCGAAAATGGCGATTTTTTCATATTAAAAAACATTTGTACTGCCTATTTTAAATACAATAATAAATCTTTATTTTAATTATAAATTTTTAATGCGTATAATTTGTTATAATTATGGATTTAAAATATAATAAAACCGAAATAAAAATGTTACTGATTCATATAGAGTACTTTAGATAAATGAAAAAAATAATGTATAGATTATTTATAAATAATTAATCTGAAAAAATCTGAAAATACATGTAAGTTGTATCTGTCAAGCAATTCGATGTTCAAATATAGTCGTTGGTGATGTATATAGGATCTTAAACATTTTATTAGAGATTTATGACATATTTTTCAAAACAATATTAAGTTATTGAATTCAAAGATGAAGCTAGATTAACAAATTGCTTTGATGGATTGTTTTATCAACAATAATTGTTAATTTCTGAAATATGTCTCCTTAAGCCTTAGTAAATAAATACAAATAGAAGTTAATACACGTTAATGACTAACTAATACAACTTACATATTATATTTACTGCAGAAGTTTTAGTTCGTCTAGTAAGTTGATAATAATAATTACTAATGCTTTGCTATTATTGATTTTGACCATTGATTAAGGACTGATTTGATTTCAAAATCATAAAATATCAAAGAATATATTATCTATTTTGTAGTTATAATGTCAAAGCAGTAGCTTAAGCTAAAACTGCATAAGGGTGCACATGCGATAGTCAGTACATGTGTAACACTATAAGATCGGTAACAGCAGACAAATCGATTCTATTCAGTCTCCTGTTACGCTAAAGGTCCAACAATTTCTGAAAATATGTAGTTGAGGAAGATAATGTATAAAATGAAATATAAACTCATAATATTAATCATGATATTAATACTATACACTTAAATCTATAGATCCAGTGGTCTGTTGACAGAGAGACACGAATCTCATGCACCTCTAAGCGCTAATTTATCAATTCCATAATGGCAGCAGACATCAACAGGAGTATAACTTGGAATAGCTTCGCTATGTTTAACACATCAGCACAATGTAAATTTATCAGTCGTCAAGGATATTTCTCATTCATCTTTTAAGTCTAATAAAATAATGTAATATAAATAACATATCTGTTAAATAAGAATATATTCCTTCGAATTAGTTTCACTACATTTACACTTGTGTCAGATTCAATATTTAGTGGTGAAAAATAATGACGTGTATTAGAAAGGATAAAAATTGGGAAAGAAAAAAATTGATTAGAAGTACATGCTGTTTGCTATGTTAATTTAAATTCATTATTTAATAATATTGGTATTATTTTCTTATCCAGATGCGCACAATATTATTATAATAGATAAATACCTTATATATAAACGTCATTAGCATTAAAAATGGTTCAAACATTGATCATTTTATTGTGAAATTAATTAATTAATTGATTAATGGAGTATTTATTAAGTTATATGGTAATAATTTAATTATATAATGATTTCATTAATTATTTTATAGAAACATTTTCGTCAAATAGCCTTGTACTGTTATTCAAAAATAATTTTTTTCAACAAATATTTGGTTGCTTATCATACACGTATCAATGTTTGTATATAAATATATATATATATATATATATATATATATATATATATAGCTTTATAAATTCCTGTTCTAATCACAAATAAAATTGATTATAATTAATGTCGCTAGATCGATTATTTAAATGCCTTACAGTTCCGTAAATTTTTATAGAAAAATTCTTTATATTTTATCATGATCAAACTGAATGAGTTCTAAATACGAATAATTCTTTTTAGTACTTTTGAAAATGACAAATTGAATGTTTTCCAATATTAAATATTGAATACTTCATTACGTAAGTAAAGGCCTAATAGTAGTAAATGCATTTTTTATATTATATTCAATTATATATTAAAATACTAAAATGAGAAAATAAAAAATATATGTAGTTAAAACCTATTTTTATTAAAAATAAATTTTTATTTAATATATGATATACATATATACACATTAATATATTGGAATTAATTTATATGTAAAAATAATATCACGTGCTTATAATTGATTTAATGAATATCAATGAATGGTACACGCTTGTATAAATATCAGGTACATTTTTTTGGCATATAACAGCATGTGATGCAACGCCAATAAGTTTTCCATTTTTAACAATTGGACCACCACTATCGCCCTGTAAAATTGAAAAAATCCTATTATATAATTTATTTATTTATTTGTAGAATTAATAAATAAACTTGTTTCAGCCATTTTTTCATAGTTTTGACAACAATAAATATATTAAAAAAAAAAAAAAAAGACTTCTCTTAAAGGAACAGGTTTAATACAGGTAAAAATAATCTAAAAAGTATAAAACATGTATTTTTAATATAAACTGAAAATTATTAAGAACTCTATTATATTATGAATTTTTAGCGTATAAAATGAATAGAAATTTTGAATCGAAATTAAAAAAAATTTACTTTTAAATTACATTAGGATTCTTCATCTACTTTAAAAACTTTAATGCCTAATAACTTTAACGGACAAAAATTTGAAAAAATTACTAAATTCAAAAGTGCAGGTTTATTGATGATATTGTTAAAAAATAATGTAGGGAAGGCATTTTTTTTACAAATATTTAAGAACTCTTTAAAACACTGAGTTGTAATACTTACGGCGCATTTGTTTATTTCCTTTTTGGAAAATGAACAGAATTGCTCGTTAGATATTGAATATGATAGAATCGCTGAGCATTTAGTATTAGTAATAATTTCGTACTTATTCGACATTAGATCATTAGAATTTGGTTTTGGCGAGAAAGTTGTTATTCCCCAGCCACTAAGAGTAACTGAATCTCCATTTTTAACGTCTTCTTTCGCAAGATCTATTTTATTTGTATTTTTGCCAAATTCAATAATTGTTCTTAGCTATAAAGATAAAATAGATGAGTCTTTTAAATGGTATGTTGAAAAAATGTACTTTCAACGCTTGTTCAAATATTTTACTTATCAAGGTAATTATTACTTTATTAATATTTCGATTATCTTTTATGAACATTAGTACATTATTTAGATATACATTTGACTATGAAATACTTTGATACTTTATACAGCTAATTTTTCAAGTAAATATACAAATTTATTTTTTCATTATTTGTTAACATGTAACTTCACAAAGGACTATTTTTGTAATACTTTTGAAGTTTCATTATTCTGTTCAGTATATAGTACAATATTATTTATGTATTTGTATAATTACTTAAATTAACAGTTTCCATTCACTGTCTCTTTTCTATTAAAAAGTTTTAAATTATAATTATATAAAAATAATAAAATAATTACGGAACCAGATAATTAAATTGAGTATTTAAAAAATCAGCTATTTAAATGATAGAGAGAAGTCTAATTAATAAAGGATCCTACGTTGAGAAAAAACTTGACTATAAAAAATAAAATTTATAAAATACTTTATATTACGAATAAAAGATTGAAATATATAAATATTTACAGAAAATATGTTAGAATTCAATACAAGGAATTTCTAAATATTACCAGATACTAAATTTCAATAATTTTAAACATTTCAACAAGTTTTTCTATATTTCAACTTTTCAGAGTATTACATTTTTTTTTTTTTTTTTTTTCATTAATATTAAAACGATTTTAATCAATTATTTCTTAACCTAACTTGCTATTGCTCCTACGAATATTAATGTTGATATGAGACAATTATTCTCATTCAATATATTAACTAAATTTGAAATTGTTTTAAATTAATTCAACTACTTTAAAATTATTGAATATATCCGAAGCGATTTGACATTATGGCTACTATATAAACAACATCCAAAAGTACAATAAATCTTGACTTTTTAAACGCGATAACTTTACATATATGCATGAATAATAGATCTCATTCTCACTTCGGTTTATCATAAATTAAATAAGATTAATATTCAGTGCCCATTACGATTTAAGAAAATTATGAATCTAAATTATAAGTAAAGAACTATTATAATTATATAAATAAAAATTATTATAATAATATACATCCTTTGCATTATTGATAGACTGTATAAATATCTTTATACAATTTATGATTTAAATATTTATATAGATATGTATTTATATTATTTTTATCGTTTATTAAAAATTTACTTGAATAGTAGTTGGCCGATATCTATATTTGAAGTTATTTCTTTGTACTCACGCGTTATTATATTCGGAACTTCTAATTAATTTATATAATACATGTCTAATATTCAACAAAAGTTTCATACAAATATACTTTTATTAATATTCTACATGATTTTTTATATATATTTTATATGTTTTTTTATATATATATATATATATATATATATATATATATATATATATATATATATATAGATGTATTTATTTATTTATTTATTTATTTATTTAAATTGTGTATTTATTTATTTATAGTATTTTAAATATCGTTTAAAATCAAACCACATAGTCTAGACTCTAATTGAAAAATAAGAAACATCAATTTTTAATTGATTTCTTAAAATATTATAAATATAAATGTAAAGTTTTTAATATTTTATAAATACCGTGATAACAGCAATATCATTGCAGTAAACGTATGGCTTTGTTAATTTTCCAGTGAATTTTGGGTGAATATCAACACGATAAATAAAATATGCCGTCGAGTCATCAGTAATATATGTAGTGCCCGTGTGCACCGTCATGTCAGGGAAGTTTTTTGACTTTCCAAAGACACAATGAGCCGCTGATAGAACATGTCGGTTAGAAATAATTGAGCCTCCACAAAAAGGTACATTCTTATATTTTAATAACACTTGATAAGGAAAGTCTTTTATGGACACAATTTCTGAGAAGATTTCTGAAAATTTTGTAAGAAACGAACATTTTCATTTTCTAGATACTCGGGTAGAATTCACAAAATCAAGATGTTTAAATTATTTTCAATTTACTTAATAATAAATAGAAATATTTAGTTTATTAAACTATTATAAACATTATGTGTATAATTTTCTCATAGTGATGTCATTTAACTTCTGGTTTCCCTAACGTCCTAAATCTAAATACTAATTTTCTTAAATTTTGTCTTAAAAATTATCTTTCGATTATAGCTATAAGTGTTGGATAAATTATAATTGATTTTATTATTAATCTTAAAGATAAATAAAATATTTCTTTTATCATTAGAATAAATTTTGAGTTTTGACAATCTTGTTTTCTAATTTTAAAGAATTTTCTTAATTGAATGCTGACTAAAATTTCCATTGATAGATATATTATTAGAAAATTATATTAGACAACAAAATTTTATATTATTCATAATTAAGATATTATTTACATAATCTCGCAACTTAAAATTCAGTAAAATATATTGAAACACTATGATAAAATATTACCAGAATATCTAAAACCAAAAGATCATAATTAAATCAATAGAAATTTATCTTAAACTATTTTAATTCTGCTGATATCAAACTTTTAAAATTTAAAATATTCTTAAGAACATATTATTTTTTTCATCATACCAAACTAAGTGTAATGAAATTCTATATTTATTCTTTGACACTTTTAAATTTAAATCTTTTAATATTTATAATATCTTATAAATATTTATGAATATGCTGTATTTAGAGAAAAAAAATGACGAATTATAATTTGATAATAACGTAGTTTGATAGAGTGGTTTTAATAGCTGCTTGTAACATACCAATAAATGATGTAATAAATAAAAATACTGCTAATCGAAGGTCCATATTAGCACATACTAGTTTGTAACTAAAAATTCAGTCGATCGAATCCTTTATAATAGTACGCTCCGATCTTCAAGAAATAAGCATGTGATTCTTCTTTTGATATTTTTTTTTTTTTAAATTAGCCCACCATTTGTTCGTGCACAATATTAAATGACGAAAAACATAAGGTGTTACTCACAAGATTATTTAAAAATTTCCATTATATAACCTAGTAAAATATTTGATAAATATTGAGAAAATACGTCATGAACAGAAGGTCAATGCAATCTTGCGAGAGAGACATCAAAATTAGCATAACAATTTGCATTACTTAATCAGAAAGACATATTACATTTTATCAAATTAAATAAATATTTGTTTTATAAATACTATGAGATTGTAGATATAGAATGAAGGTAAAGAGATTCAATAGCCACGTTAAGTAAATGTTTAAATTCATCTTATACAAATAAACCGAAACTTTTAGCAATCACACAAAAATTAAATTAAAATTACGTTGATGTTCTATATTCTGTCACAAAAAATCTAAAATATTTAACATTTTTAGGCTAGAAATTTATAAATAATACTCATTTGAAACCTTACGATTAAGCATTCGTAAATTCGTATTTGCAGAAAGATTGTTTAAATAAAGAACAGTAAAGTATTTTTTATTTTTAATTATTTCCTATATATTTGCTTCAATAATCATAGGTAAAAATAAATATAGACATATTTATCTAATTAACCTGAAAATGTCGTTAATTCCTCTTTTCCCCATTTTGATATCTTCCCTCTTGAATAAAAAATGATAAAAAATAAAAAAAATTTTGTCTTGTTACATTAGATTTTTCTGACAGTATATAATGGAACTCAATTCATTAATTATGACATATTTTGAACTTTTAGTTATTCAACCAATGGAAAATTGCAGTTATAGTTATTATTTTATTACGCCTCCATCTGATTAAATAATAGTTTGAATTTTTGCTTGATTTTGACATTACTAATCAATAAACTGATACCAAAAGCATTTTTAATATTTCTTTTAGGGTCCAAGGTAACTTTTAAGGAAAATTAAAATTTAAAGCTGTTAATGCTGAAATTTCCAAAATTATATAAAGTTGTTGTTGGATAGACATCTTCGAACAATTATTAAAACTTATTTGTACCATATACCAAATAATATTAGTAATTACTATTTTTCCATAGTCTTATTTGAAAATTTCTTAATTTACAGTGCGTTATTGATTGTTTGTTAGTTACTAGTTAGGAATTGATTTTTATTTGCTATTTGCTTATATTAATATTGAAGTTGCCAAATTCGAGATACAATAAATCTGTATCATTTGTACTTCGATTTTAAAAAACAAGTCTAAACCTATCTGTTTTTGAAAAAATGCACCTTCGTATGGTTTTATTTAAGCTTAACTAATAACTATCCATGTCTTGTATACTCTGATATGGTGCTATCAATAATAAATTACATTTAATAGTTCTATTTTAAGCATGAAAAATTATAAATTGATACTGGAACGTTTAAAAATGTCAAAAGCTCTATGAATATAAGTAAGTGTTGAAATTTTAATATTGAACAACTGAAATAAAGTATGTAAGTAACAAGTTACTTATCATAATATGTTATCTTATGTAAAGTTTCAAATAGAAAATAAAAGAATGGAACTATAAGAATAAATAATTTGTTATAAAAAATTTTAAATGAAAAAAAGTAGAACATAAACAAATATTAAAAATAAATATAAGTAATAATAATAATGAAATAAATTAAAGTTAAAGTGATATATATCAAATTACTCAATAAAGCATTATTATTATACATATTATTACTTTTATTCATTATTATCGAATTACTCGTCATGAACCATATAATATTGCGAGCAATTTCATAAAAATATCAAAAATAATCCTAATAGCCTTGCTTGAAATGAATATTTTTTTATATTAATCTACAGTATCCAGCATATTTATATAATTTGAAATTCTTTTCTTAACTAATTGAAATTTATAAAACTGAGTAATAACTGGAAATAATTTGAAAAAAATCCAACCTATATTTTCAATTTAAAAACACCATGTACAATTCTAAAGAATATTCCATAAATGAATTGTAATCAATTAAAATAATCGTATTGTGAATTATAATCCGATAGAAATAATTAAATTGCAAATTTTTCGTTACTTTTTAAAATTTTATTATATTATTTTATAAAAATAAAAATAATTAGAATTCAGAAATAATATCTACTTATTAAATAATAAAACACTATAATATACGATATGTTTAATAAATTCTGATCGAATTTAGGAAAGCTTTGTTCATTTTTATCCAAATTTATTATCATAGATTATGCTAAGAAATAATCAGAATCTATCTGTAAAATTTATCATCTTTTCAGAAAATAAATAATAACACAGCTTTTTGTCGAAATGAAATTTAGCCAAATAATAAAAGTCTTTTGACTAATAATGTAAAATTATAAGTAAAAGAATGACTAAAAATATAATTATAATAATGTGAGCAAAAACCAAATGTGTAATGTAGTATAAGATAGTCATAAATTTCACCAAATTATTGATAACATTTCATTACAATAGATACATACAAATATTTTGATATAATATATAATCTTGATATATAAATAATCAATAGTGGATAAGTGTATCGATATGTTTGTTTTACAAATCAATTACTGCATTATAAAATTGTGTGAGGCAAAAAATGAATGCACACAAATTTTACCAAGAAAATTTATATTTATTTTTGTCAGCACTTCGAAGTAAATATAATGCTATGCGATTTATGGATACCATTTAAAAATTATATAAAATGTTTAAGCAATTTATTCTAAAATTATTAAAAACATATTGTATTGTAAGTAATGGATATTCATCCAACATCAATTTCGATTTTCTTTTAATCATTTATCTATGCAAAATACAGATGTAAAATAAAAATGGCGATTTTCCATTTATAATATTGAATTTTTAATAAAGCAATTGTTTAAATATCTGATCTATATACCTTAAATAAATATTTCAGTGAAATCAGTCGAGTAGTTTTGCAAAAATCACGTTTATTACTTTGATTTCAGTGGTATTCGAGAAAAATTCGCCTAGGATTTTGATTGTTTAATGTATAAAAATAATTTTTATTTTAAAATTTTTGTATTTCAACAATTGCAGGAAAATCCATGAAACTTTGGATCAAATTCAAGCATAAATTTTCTGAATATTTAAGATTATAAATTAACAGAAAACAAAAGTTTCTTTATCTTTATATAATATTAAAAGAATATATTAGAACATTTAAATCACAATTATGAGTGTTATATATCCCATAATGAATATTCCATTTAATTTATATAAGTTAAATATCATGTGATAAATAAATTGTTTAATTGTATTAGTCATTTATAAATATCTTTTTACAATGTATCAAATAATACAAAACAGGAATATATATCGCATTTAAAGGACACTTTGAATTGTACTAAGTTTTTCAAATACAAAAAAATATATATATGTATTATAATCATAAATTAAACATTCTTCACATAATCATTACACTATATAATCATAGCTTTATAATCATTGTACTATTCTAAAAAAAAAAAGTTTAAATTTCGAATAAAATTTATTCATAGATCTTTTATGCATATGTACTTTTTATTTTTAACTGTTTTTAATATCATATCTTATATTAAACAATTTTTTATATTTAATTAATTATACATTGATGATATGACTTAGTAAAAAGTAATTTCATTTAATATGTTTAATACAAGAACTAGTATGAAATTTGCTAAATATTATTAAAATTTTAATTTTTATTATTTTTTTTTTTTTTTCATAATTATCAATAAAGAAGAAAAGGAAGAAAATTGTTAAAAAAAACTGTTATTAATGTAATGTTATCTTTAAATATAATATGTTTTATATAAATAAGACTTTCATATTGAATTGTTTTTCTTCGATAATTATAATAAGTTTTAGATATATGCTTATTGTAATACATTCATTTTAGTAAAACATATATTTTTCTACTTTTAATTGACACTTGCTTGTTATTCACATATTATTCCTATTAGTTACATCTAAATTACGATTATTATTTACTTATTACTGTTAATTATTATCTACCGTTAATACTAAATGAACGTATAACATTTTATAAAATTACATCATGAAAATGTGAAAAAATTGTATTATCATTACAGATAATTATTTTTTCAATACATGTTTTTTGTTTTTGTCTTAATATAAGTTAAAAAAAAATTTTGTTATTAATATATTAATGATTGCTAATGAAATGCCATGGAAAATGGGATATTCACGCGTAAGCATATATTAACAATTTATTTGCAGATGAAGCAATTAACCTTTGCAGACATACTTGTTATATAATATTATATCATTGTTGATATTTCCATTTTCAAACAAATCAATATTTACTCATTAAATTTATTGGTGTTATTCAAAAGCGAAAAAGATTATTTCAGATTAGGTGTTCCTTGTATAAGGTACTACATATTGGCCAATATTCATTTAATCTTTAAATATATAATTAAAGAAAATGTATATATTATTAAGTTTTTTTTAAGCATTGAGATATTTTTCAAAAATATTAAATTATTAAAAATCTTAAGTGTATTTATTCTAATTATTTATCGTTCCTACATTATATAAAATAGCCTATTGATTGTTAATAATTAAACGTACGCTTACAGAGTAAAAAATAAATTCCAAATCCCATGAATAAATTATAAAATCACAGTTAATTTAAAATTAAAAATTTATTAATTTTATTTAAACCACAATTTTGAATTAATACAGTTTAAACAACCATTTAATATACTTCTTTATATGAGAAATCAATTAATGATGTATTAAATTGTTTACGATGTTATGTATGCAGTAGCAATACGCGTCTTCATAATTTACTTTACCCAAATATTTATGATAAATTAATAAAGATAAACGACTTGATTACAAAGGCGAATGAAAAAATATTTCTGAAACCGGAGTATTAATATTAAAGTAACTATTACAATTAATTTTTATTTGCATTATTTATAAATAGAAAATTTAATTTATTAGTTCGTATCAATAAACCTGCAATAGAAGTTGATTTACATCATTTTAAAACCTATACTATAGTTATTGAAAATTTT